TTCAGCCAAGTTATGAAGATTCTGGTTCTTATTTCATAGTAAATTTTTAAAATTCACCAACAGTGAGTTTTTCTTCTCTTCCATTTTGCGTGTCAGGTGACAAAATTCTCGAACATTTTCCGGCTACATTAGCGCCCTTACTTCCAACAGGTTTTCCAGTCCGCACACAAAGTTTGTGTGGGCTGATTTGAAGGAACACAACGTCCGGCATCGAGCAGCGACAACGACCATTCTGAAACCCAGTGTCTATCAACAACACCATATGCTGAGTTCCCTGTCGTATGAATGGCGGTGCTTATCACATTCCATTTAAAAGTGACGTCTCCTGGGGTTTTCACAACTTAGTTTGATAAGCTTGACCTTTGCGTAGGAAAGCTTTTCGAAAACCGAGCGGATAATTTGCTCCTTCGGTCTCCCCAGAGAAAAATATCAAAAACGTAATCTGGACAACAGCATGATTTGACTCGAAGTGAGTGGTTGAAAGTAAATTTAAAGGCCCAGCGTTAATGGCTACGTGGTTAACCTGGTTTCACCGCTGTCCAGCAGTGGGTGAACGCATGGTCACCTACTAACGTCCATTGTGTTTGAATTTAATATTACTGGTGAGCAACTGTGACCAGTAAATAGCTGGGAGAATCAACAACGTGATATTATGAATTTGTTTACGCTAAACAAACCACCATATTGTGTCTGTGATAAACGAATACAGCCCACTTGTCCAAAGCGATCATCTGAGAGTAGGATAATATCCGACATCCAGAATGGACAGAAATTATTTCGGTTAGTGCGGGTTCTTAAGAAAGTTGGCAAAGGGTGCGAAGGCGGTCATTTGCAGTGCTCAGCCGAGTAAGGAAACTCGAGAGCTGAAAGCGACACCAACGCCAGCATTCCCACCTTAGTAGATGTAGAATCACTTGACGTTCACAGGTGGTAACGTCAAGATAACCAAGTTACCTTAAGCTGGATTACCATACACGGATTTTGCATTCGAGTCCATGAAATATTGAAAATATCTTTTGATTGACTGTCCGCAGTACGCGCCAAGGCAGCTCGTCGGCTAGTTTTAACGTTAAGGGTGGCACTATATGCAAAGTGATGAAGTCTGGGGAGCGGACAAGAAGCGGCAGAGTTGAGCGTACGACTAGCCGCTTCTATAAATTAAACACTGACACGCACACGGCTGCGGACCACAAAATGGCCATCGCGAGATGTGACAAGAAAGAAGTTCAGAGAAAATACTGAGAACAGATGGGAGATATCAACAGCTGCCTTCTTCGTTTACCCGCCCTGGTCTACACGCAAGTAAAGCAACCCGGCTGATGGCACAGCGCGACGGCCATTGGGGCATGAAATAATCGGTGTTCGCTTATTTCATTGGCGCCGAGGCACTGTCACGGCGACCAAACCTAGATAGAAGGACGGTTAAGGGCGCCCCAACCGAAGCTTTTGGCTTACCATGCTGGTTGCAAGACGGTGGTGTTTGTTTTTCGGCGACCAGATTGGTGCAGCTTTTAGGGAACATGTCCATCATGTCTAGATATGTTCCCAAAGCCAGCCAGAGCTTTTTCACATCTCTCACAGGTTCTTTACTATGCATGGTGATCACGAGCATACTGGTAAATGTGGCTGCTATCTAAATCAGAAGGATTTAAACAAAGCTGTTCACCAGCCCTGCCATCAATCCGACCATTTCATTATTGTGGTTCAATTAGGACACAGTGTGCGCAATAAAAACTGAAAATATGTGCACAGATGAAGATGTGGTTATCCCAATTATTGGCTGCCCATCTGACTTGATGCTAGTAGGTGGTTCTTTGGGTTGATGTGCTCATTATATGAAGAATGCCAACGCTTGACTGCGTGATCACCGACGAGCGTAGCAAAGAGTAAAACCAGGGGGTTATCTGATAACAGGTGTCTTAAGGTTCATTCAGTTACCTAAGAAACGGGTAAAGAAATGAGCGTTGATGAATAAGAATGCAGAAACGACAAACAACGCCTTTGAACGGGACTCGCACCCGTGCGCTACTGCTCATCGGACAGTTTCCCTACCGACCCAGCTGCTGTAGACCGCACAAATCCTTATCTCATCTACACCAGTTGAAACAAACGCTTTTCGAATATATGGGCCACAACCGTCTCGTCCAGTGTGAACTTTACACGTGAAGCCCACTAACTGCTCTATCAGACATCACCTACTTATTCATTGAGCGGATGCTCCATAACTGATCGTGAAACTCAAGTACATATGTTGGACGTAAGGATGACTGAATGATAGTGGCCCAAATCTAAAACCGACTACCGAAATGACAAAGCGACAAAGCCATCCAGGTTTTTTTTCAAGATACACTAGCACTAACGGCTTGAACGTCCAGAATCCCATTTCAGCAATGTGTGCCCTCGGTCGCAGTCAGTAATTAGTGTCTATAAATAAAATGCATTCTCGGTTAACTGTTTTTTTTGCCACTGGCGTGCGATCACTGCATGCCTTCCGTGAATTTTTTGTGAACTGACTTCCTTGCATCCATCAACTTACCAGTGCTAAGTGTCACAACAACTCGGACAGCATCCCAAATATCGATCAAAGGTGCTCAGGTTCGTACGGAAGAATTTCGGTGCCATTTGCTGATTCACTAATAAATCAATAAAACAGCAATGCGCGAGTTGTTTTGCTTCGAACATTTCGATTGCCATGGCCAACTTTGCCTTGAGGACTCACAAACAGAGGCGTTAGCAACAAGAAGCACACATGATGAAAATGAGTTTCACGCAGAGTGAGGTGGTCTGTAGGGTGCACTTTGAGCCGCGTCTCAAATGAGACGGACCGTGGAGAATGCACATTTTGAATGCCATAAAAATAAAAACTTCTGAAGAATGATGGGGAAAACTTGTTGGCGGAAAAGTAACCAAGAATTTTGTGTTCGCACAATCAACGAACTATCCGACGGCAGATGCATTCACCAAAGAAGAGATGTGAAAAATAAACACCTTTGCAACTTGATGGCCTTTCTTTTCCATTCGTTATGGAGAGCATTCTTTCTCCGAGAAGAGGGCTATTGCTTGCTGAATAGGAAGACAGTAACACCTTTCAGTTATGGAGCGTGTACGTTCCCGTAAAATACAGTTTACTGAGACCATATGGACGACCTTCCCATTCGTCATTCTGATTACCATTTTAATACCCATTATTTCCGGACACTTTTTTCCAGAAATGTGTTCATCAGAGAATGAACCGGATGTACAATCACCCCGCAATGAAATGAGTGTCAAACGTTACTTATAAATTGAATAATTAAATTAAATTAAGCAGCGAGACCTGATTGTACGGAAACTCATTCTGTTGATGAATACACGCTTATAAACCTTTGCTCCAAACCAGCTATCTTTGAGCACATTTAGCGAGATAAAAACAAAAAACAAAATCGGCGTTCTACGAACTTTTGGGTGACCAGGAGAGTGTGGTTCAAGGAAACAGAATGTTTGCGCGAGAAGCGCTCTGGGTCCTTGATTGCCTTACTTAACAGCTTATGTTTCGGTCTACTCGAATTTAATGTCAACCTGCGCACCTTGGTCAGCTTACAGGGATGTACGCACTCACAACGAGCCTGTGAGTGCGCTGTCGCTCTGTTTAACAAGGGAGAGATCGGAATGGGTCGAGCAAAAAACTCAACACTTTGGGAAGTAGAGAACGCTTAGTGGCAGCATCCATAGTATACATATCTTTGAATGCATACTTATGTTCGGGCCCATCAAAGAGACAATTTGTTATCCGAATGACTTCCAGGTATCTCAAAGCCACCTGATAACTTAATGAAGGATATTGAAGCATTGCATCGTGCGTATTGCATCGCATTGCGTGGGCTGGATTCCGGCGGTCTTCAAAGTGGTTACCGTGGTAACAAATTATTCAACTCTCTAAGCTTCGTGTGAGATCACAGAAAAACTGGTGCGCTTGTAAGTTTAATCACAAGAAACGTATTCACGATGAAGAGAAGAATAATATAACCCATGTTTCAGAACAAAGATTCATTGGAATTCGGTAACTGAGGTACTGGAGATATGCAAGCAACAAGTTTTCGGACCAAATGAGTCGTAGAGGCAGATAACAATTAGAATCTGAGTCACCTGTGAAAATGAAATAAATATGTGTCAACTTGCTCATGATACTAATCTGAAAGAACATGAAGACAACCGACGCACCACATGCCGACAACACGATAATACGAACGGTGCATGAATAAACCAATTAAATCAGGGCAGAGAGAAGAACACCATCGATTTGTTTGTAGCTGGAACCAACAAACTTTCCGCTCTTTGGTGTCTCTGACCCATACAGATGCTCACGTATCCTCTGAGCAACTTGCCATATTATGTACCCGACATATTCCATTGAACGTTGGAAGAAAAAACAATACACAACCCGAAAGAATCCAGAATTCTCGTTTTTAACTCTTCAGGTACCTGGTGATTCCGATGCGACGGCTGGGAACTGTGCTAAGACCCAGAGGCGAATGCGCTTTAGAGAACTGAACACCAGTAAGCAGTCGTCTTTGAGTTGACCGGTTCAATCAAGATTAATGAATCTCAACGTGATACACAGTTTCTCCGTCGTGTCGACATACCCTCCGAAAAGCGACAGCTTTGAGACTGAGAAAGACAGTTCCTGCGGCATCTCTGGTTAGCAGGAAGTACATACAAAGTTATTCCATATGGAGATGTGAGTGCCCAGATCTGTCGAGTAAGTCCTGAGGAAGCCTATGTTGGCAACCTATTCGGGGTAGAGCCTCACCGCTAAGATAACGGCTATGCGCTTAGCCTCATTTGTTTCTAGCTTGCACAAGCCCTCACATCATGTGACTTGGAGACCACCAGCTGGAAACCGGCCTTGGAATCGGACGGATTGGCTGTCCGCTACCGATAGGGAGCTTCGACGGTACAGTGTTGGTCATACCAAAGCACGCCACTTGTGTCTAATCACGGCACGGTTCAAGCAGGCGTAACTATTCGCCTTGCTTCTCGAAAAAATCGGTTGATGCAAAGCCATTCAGTTCATCGCCAACAAACCGCCTCAGCAGCTCAATATTATCTAGTTGAGTTAACTGAGGAACTTCCAGAACCTGGTCGGAAGAGTAATGGTCTGGATAGCGACTAAAAAAGTAAAATCAACCATATTCACAGTCTTTGATACTGTCTAATCCAGGTTGAATACCGGCTCTGCTCGAGATAAATGACACTGAATGAAACCAGAAGACCTCTACAGAAGCAATAAAGCACCTGCTCCAGTTAGTTTGCATTTCGCAATATTCAAAGAAAGTGGTTACTGCATCGTGGCTCTGCTTAAGACTTTACTCATAAGTAGCTAGAATGGGCAAAAAAAGACCTACAGAATGGAGCTCCGTCATGGCTATCCCTGCTTTCAAGAAGGGTGTAACAACACCCTGCGAAACCAACCGGGATATCAGCCTAGTGGGTAAAAGTTCCAAGGCCTTCTCTGGACTTATCCTTCAAAGGTCAATCCATCATCTGACGAGNTCAATCCATCATCGGAAGAGTCAAATTTGCGAGAATCAAGTTTGGTCTCTTCCTGGCCGGGGTTGCAATGGTCGTATATTCACTTTTGACGGGTGCTGGAACTACGCCACTCTTTCCAATGGCCAATGGTGATCGTCTTGCTCGATATCAAATTTGCATGCTGCTGCTTTGATTGTCAGAAACTGTGGCGATATCCGTCGAGGAAGAATGCCCCTACCATATTATTTTCTCTTATGGAGGCATTATATGACTCCCTATGCGGAGATGCACCCGTCTAAGGTAAATCCTCTCCCTGAGTTCACCAAATCCAATGTCGTCAGGCAGGGGTGTACTCTCTCGTCCTTTCTCTCTAAATTTATAATCGATGTGCTGCTTTGGTGTCCTTCATCTGCCTCCTTTGTTTAGGTTATCATCATCGATAGCAGAGCATCAGTGCCATACCACTATGACTTATGTGAAAGCCTTATTGTGAAGAAAAATAAAAGTGGCCTACCGCAACCAGTCCGAAGTACTTACATCTCCCAGCACTCATTCATACAATCTAAATAGAAAGGGAAAACAAGACCGTCAATGGCGTCGATTGGCAACCACACCTTGCAGCGTCTCTATCCCCTAGTTCGTCCGTCTAAGTTGGCTCGAAAGTTAGAAAAATCACTAGTCAGATCAAATCCAGTTCCCAATCACCATTCTATCGTTTCTGCGTGGTGGACAACAGAGTTTCTGTCCTGGTGATGTCAACTCCTTACACTTTCACGCCTTAACAAAAAGGATTCTAACTCTGAATAAACAAGCCTTCTTATACATTACGTCTTCCGTTTTTGACTTGTGCTTTCAAGTTGAAATTGGGCGGAATTCGAGGTTTGTTCATACAATAATGGAGATTTGCGGATTAAATGCTCGGAAGCTATCTTCGTAATACCGAACATGCCGAATTTTCTTATCACAACAGTACCTGTGACGGGGTCAGTCGAATGACATTTTCAGGCGGCGGTACGACTTTACTCTTACATACTAACCTCAGGAGCAGCATCCAATTCCGGTCATAATAGATGTGGCAGCTGAAACCCACAAGAAGGTGACCGACTAGACGCGCATCATATTTCGGCTCTGGTATAACGTCACCACCAGTCTTCAAGTGAGTGATGTTTAAAAAAGGCTGTTTGTCTAACCCATCTTCGAAGTTGGAGGTGAAAAAAGGGATTTATAAAAAGCCAAATGTTTACAGACACAAACGGTCGGCAGACAATGCCATTGATGATGCCTCGAGCCACCTGTCGTCTTAGCTTTCAGGAAAAAGGCAACGGAAGAGAAGCTGTTCCTTTTGTTATTCATCATACTTGCAGTCTCAGGACCCTGGTTTTTAAAAGAGGGACGGCTGTCTTGATAACAGCTCCAGTGGAATTCGTTCGTCGTTCAATTCAAACCACTATATCACCACTAAGAACTCTCAATGCAGTACTTTAGCTGAATTAATGTCTTCGAGCACGCTGACAGGTTTGAGCATAAGCCCACTGGGGTCATCATCCATGCCGTTTGATGACATTTATGGCATCACGATAATGATGGCTGTCGGGCTAATAGTGTCAAGTGCGCGTCTGCAAATTCAGTCGGAATGTCGGAGATTCACATCTGATTGCCTATGAAAGTAAGCTAAAATAAGCAACTTGTGAATACGCAGCCTTCTGCTCTAGTACTTGAAAGATTTGCTCGGACCACCATCAAATGGTTAAAGTAATGCATGCAAATCAAGCGACGCCATACAAGACTGTTATCAATGCTGCTAGCGATCAGTCCAACCATTCACATAACGGTGAGACTTAGTCGAAGATTTTGTCCACGTACAGGAGCTCAAATCAAGTGATGGAAATTTCGCTGTGACGAAATGTGTTGCAATGCTTTGCAGGCGCAAAAAAGCGGAGGAATACTGTGACGCCGAAACAGGTAGTACAGGAAAGAATGATGTAGTGGAATTTCAGTGAATGATCTGCACCGATAACTGGAGGCTGCCTCGCTGTAGCCATTCCATTTAATATCAATAGAGCATAAAACACAGGACAGACAAACTACTCGACTCCTCCATGACACACCAAAGATGACGAGAAAAGGTAAGATAACTCCGGGTTTAGATAATGCATTTCCCCGGCTCCAGACCTGATAGTTTTCCTTGTCTTATGGATGTCAGATGTCAGCAGATGAGGCGCGTGTGAAGAATTCAGCGTGTGTCCGAGCGAGGGGAACGCTTTCTGCATCGCTCTCAGTGTGCTCTAAACACGGGGACTCATCAGATTGGTGAGCCTGGACGAACAGAAAATCGTTTACGCTCTAACCCTCGCATTAAAGAATATTTGTAGAATGGGAAAGTCAGCATGGAAGTAAAAGTTACCGATATTTGATTTGTTTCTGCGTAAGTGTAAGTTTGTTACACCCTATTAGGAACATCGAACTAAATGGTTATGAGCACCCAATCAGTAGTGCGGTTAACTCGCACTCAGTTGTCTCTACACGTGCTGACTCGATTTTGAGTAATTAGTTCCCTAAGCTGGCAATTGAGTGAACTGCAGTGGTCCAATTCGCTTTTCAGCCTGGGAAACCGCAAATAGTATTCAGTCGACTGTAGGCTTGCATTATAGACTTAAGGAGTGCGGACAAAACATTACTGCTGCTAGTTTTAGAACGGTTGTCGTTCATCTTTGCAGGATACAAGCCCGGAATAGGACCCTGGCCGTACAACAGAAAAAAGGACGTTCGCATAAATCACTAGCTCAAAATGCAATGTCTGTAAAGTCAACGAAATTGGGAGGTATCTAAACACGATCTACCAAAGAGGGCTTTAGTTTCCACTCGATGAACTCAATCATGAAATCTTGCAATGGGCTGACAACAACAATGTAAGATGAAGCGAAACAAGCTATAGTCAATCTGCAGGCCACTTAACACTTATCAAGCTCAGTTGATGTGATTCTCTGCGCATAGCTGCAAGTCCTACAGGACATGGCAGGTAACCATTCTAAATTGTCAGCATGTAGTCACTATCAAGCCGAAAAGTCAGGAAAATTTTTGTCTGTCAATGTGCGTTGATTCTGTTTTTGGTGGTGTTTGCATGAAACACCAGATCAGTTTCAACACAATATCCAGATGCCTTCTTTTCCGTGCTGTTCGAAGGTGTAGGTATCTTGTCCTTGATGGTTTAATCCGAGGATATCAGACCTTTCTCAGTGGATCCCCAATGGGTCCGTTTCTTCCCACTTTTCACCAAGGTCTTTCCTCAGTTGTACGTGTAGTGAGCACCAGTAGTTACCACAAAACTGCTGTCTATGACAACCGTCTTCTGCGATATGCAATGGATGTGGGGATAGATAATGTGACAATCAGCTGTCAATCAACCAATCATCAGCAATAAACCACGTACCATAGGCATATTGGTTCCAGCTGCTACAGTTTCGAATTAAGATGCCAGCGAGTTTATCAGGGTCTGGACAGTTTAGAAATCATCAAATGGTGAGATCGTGTTCTGACCTCCCATTTTCGAAACCCGTGAGTTGGTTCTTGGACCTACAGTTTCGTGGCATTTTTTCACGTAACCGGACCGGTAGCCTTCCTTTGGGAGTAAAATCGTTCTTCTGGGAACGAAGCTACGGATTCCTAGGATGTGGAATATCTAATTATGGAAAGCTGGAAAAGAATCGTTGCTGTGGCGTATCCTGGGTGAATTTCTTGGCTTAAGGGGGATTACCGTTGTCCGGTCTGAATTTGCAAGTCATCCTTATCTAAAGTGTCACATGACAGGCCACCGGATTATGTAGTGCACTGCGAATTCCGACTACCTAACCACTGTTTCAAGCCATATACTACTGTACACTAGAGTACATCCATACAATATAATGGCCCACTAAACCTTCCATCGTCTTTCTTCCTACACCCGTCATTTTCTGCCTGATTCGATTCTTCGCTAAACGGGTGTATGCGCTACTGGATTTTACAGTGGAATCGAACACGCTATACACAAATCCACTCAGCTGATCATTTTCTTGCATTTCACCAACTTTAACCAACAACCCTGGAGTGGTATTTACTGATTGGTTCAAATTTCATGAGGTAAGCCTACGAAAAAAGTGATATACGCCTGCTATACGTCACCGAAGCGGCAATTTTTTGTCACCTGACCGCACAGGAGAGAAGACCAACACAAAAAATCGAACATGGGGATGCAGATTGGTGACGCAAAATGACGCAAGTCGTTGTGCTAGCGTTTGTGTGGCTATGGCAACTGGGCGATATTTCGTCGTCATCATGACGAACGGCTTACTAGCCCACCAAACTCAAAAGTTGCTGGGATGACACCGGGATTTGTTTGTGGCGTTCTCAAGGCCACGAACCGAACGGAACAGGTTGTGACAAACTGTCCCAAAAACGTTAGGCTGAATTTTGCTACCAAAGCCGACAATAGGCATTGGGGGGTAGGGAAATTTGTGCGCCTACAATGCCCACTTCCATGAATAAATGCGACGATAAATTTATTCCCTCCGAATCACAAAGATCTAACCGAACACACGATAGGAAGCTTCATCGGCGGCCACTATTTTGGATGACAGAGGGTGATAACACGGCTGAAGTGTACCTCTTCTGTCACCGGAATATTATTGAGCAGAACCTGTCTATCGGCCATAGGAAATCAAGAGGCCTGACAAACCTAGGCAGAAAATGGCAAGCGGATGAAGCAAACAGTACCATGTTGTTGTCGGGTTTCATAGGTCACAGTTCGTCAGTAGACAACGCAGTGTGAGCTGCGAGGACTTGATGAGACTTTGTATGCAGCATGACATGACATTCGAGGACGTTCAATATGCCCTGTTGACGTCTCAGTTTACGCAGCTTTCGTGGATAACCGGAGTGCGATATCCGGCTGCCGAACTTTGCGCTAGTAGCCATCGGCTTTGCAGGTTCGTCCCGCATGGACGATCTAGAAATATCCCATCCAAACTCTGTTAACAGCCGGTGACTTTTCCAATGACGCACTAGACAGAGTGAGGATCCAAAATGTGTATCGTCTGCAGGAATCTAAATTCTACCGATC